AAAAACGGTAAATTTCGCCGAAAAAAAAATGTTATAAGAACTCGGTCGGTAATCGGGCGGCCCCGAAACAGAAGGCCGCGCACTGTGTTTTCAGTCCATACATTTGATATTTGTATTTTGAATGATACCTTAGTTAAAATGGTTTTGCATTTAAATGCAAAACCATTTTAATTAAAAACAATCGGTTATTATTTATCTTATACTTTAAACGAGCAATTCTTGTATAAATATATGTGTATATATATATATATATATAATCGGAATCTCGGAAACGGCTCCAGCGATTTTCATGAAATTTAGTATGTGCGTAAATTCGCGGGCGAAGAATCGATCTAGCAACGTTTCATTTTTAGAAAATGTCCTGTTATCCCATGATATTATTTTTGGATATATAATAAAATGTTTTCAGGGAATGAAAAACATTATTCAAATATGACAGTAAATTTCGCCGCAAAAAAATGTTATAATAGCTCGGTCGATAAGGCGGCCCCAAAACAGACGGTCGCGGTTCGTATCACGATCATTTACACACTTATTTTTTTTACTTTTTTTTCTATACTAGATCATTTTCTTTATTTTTATTTTTTTTTTAATAATAATACATGATTTACCAAAAAAATGGAGGACCGAGCTAAGCTCGGCCTCCAGGTACCTTAATTTATTCGGTTATCTTTCATTATTCATCATTTTATTTTGTTATACGTTACGGCAAAACATTAATATTGTATTTGCATGTAAAGACTGCAACGCAAATTTGCATTCTTTTCCTCACCTGAAAATGATAGTGGCACATATTTAAAACATGGATTCAGTCGATTGGAGGAAATTTACTGATTTTGGATAACCAAAAATAATTAAACGTAAATAATTTACTAAACGGCACCAGACTCGAAATCAATGTCAATAAAGATTATGATTCTGACAATGAGACAATTCATAATAAAGATTATGAAAAAAATAGCGAGAGAATATTATGAAAAACGAAATAAGATTCGCAAAACATATTTCTGTATTTTATTTACTTTATCCAAAAATAACATCTAGCAAGATTGTACCCAATTGCAGTTTTCTATACCATGTTATCAAATATAAATAAAATAAATTTCGTATACACTATACAGAAAACTGTAGCTCTCAACTATAAAAACAAAATGGTTAATTATATACATCTGAACTTGTATTTCAGTTCCGCATCAAGAGATGGCATTGTCTCATGAGGACACTGATAAGATAACTCTATAATAATTTACTCTTTGAGGCCGCGTTTCGTGTCACGATCATTGCTTTCTTTATATTTTATTTTTTTATTTCCCTCCTTTACAACCTCCAGGTTCTTTTTATTATGTAGGTATAAGAGATTTTGTTATCTTTCTTTATCTCTTATCCTTTAAACGAGCAATTCTTGTATATATATATATATATATATATATATATATATATATATATACATAATTGGAATCTCGGAAACGGCTCCAGCGATTTTCATGAAATTTAGTGTGTGCGTAGATTCGGGGGCGAAAAATCGATCTAGCTAGGTTTCATTTTCAGAAAATGTCCTTTTATCCCTGTTTTCAGGGAATGAAAAATATAATTCGAATATGACGGTAAATTTCGCCGCAAGAGAAAATGTCATAATAGCTCGGTCGGTAATCGGGCGGCCCCAAAACAGACGGCCGTGGTTCGCGTCACGATCATTTACACATTTATTTTTTTACTTTTTTTCGATTCCAGATCATTGCTTTATTTTAAATTTTTTGTCGATTTGTTATTTTGTTATTTTTTTCCCTTTTTTAAAAGTTCTTTCTTTTGTGAAAAACAGTTCATATTTTCTTATTATTACGTCGGTAAGATCGAAAAATATTATGCATATTTCATTACTCAGTAATTTGTATCTAATTGTAATTTCCAAAATACACGATTTACCAAAAAAAAACAAACCAAGCAAAGCTCGGTCCTCCGGGTACTGTCTATTGATTGGGAATGTCTACCCTACAAAATAAATACCTAGTCTAATTGAATCTATCCTCTATGGTATGGTATAGACTTACCATTTTACCAATCACACAGTAATTAGTCTATTATCTTTTCCTCTAAGTAAAAAACCATGCTTGTGAAAAAAAGTAAAAATAAAAAAATGCCATTGTTATTGCTTTTTAATAACTATACAGCTTCATCACATACATTTCAATCGGATCAACCACTCATCTTGAATCACATGGTACATAGTTGTGAAATTATAAATCGGAATCATAAAAACAATGGATAGTAAAAGGTGACTGCAACAAACCAAATGAGAATTAAACAATATAGATATAAACAGGTTAATCAGGTTTGTAAAAACCTTTTTAAGTAGCTAAATTGTAACTTTGCCATAAAACAAGTTGTTAAGTTGTGTTCAAAATATTTTGATTTATACATAGTGAAAAAGTAATTACCGTTTTGTTATGACTATAAAATTAGGAAACTGCATAAAATTTGAGCTATTTTTGTTTTTTCATAGTTTCATTTTACATCCTAATAATATATTTATCATATATTCAGCATTAATTCAAATCATTATCATCAATATCTTTCTCACATTAGGATGAGTTTTAGCACAGTTCTTCACTTAAAGGGTTACCAAATCAGCAAATAATTTGTTATTTACATCAATAATTATTAATATGATACATGTTAATTTAATTTCAACAAACATAAATAAGAGCACTTAGAAAATCATTCTCTTTAAATTGGTAACATTAATTGTTCTGGGTAAAAATGATTTTATGACAGATTGATATTACCATCACAAAAGACCTACAACTCCATGCCCAGAACAGCAAATAATTTTTTTTAAAAACATTATGAACTGTGCTTCTCGTATTTTCAGTTGCTTTTGAATACTCCTGTCCTGTCTCTGGTACCGCTATAACTGTACCTTTCTCTTGTTATGAAACTATGAAATTAAAAAACCATACATTATAATAACATGTAGTGTTTCAGTCTGTTCCAAAGAATATATGGAAAAATGCACCCCAGAGATTGTTGCTAAATATCTTTGGTATTGTCATGATTTCTTATGAAAACATGAAAGACATTTTGCAATACTAGTTATAATTTTTTTTATTTTTAACAATTCTTGTGATCCAATAGCAGATCCTCATTACGTCATGAATCTGAATATTATTTCCTGCCATACTGTCAAATTAATGCAACTAAAGACAATTTTTTGTAATTACTTTAGCACTCAGGAACATTCATTTATGTTACTTAATTAACAATGTCATCAATTTTCTTCCTTTTTGACATAATCCATTTTGTTCCAAACATTATCATATTTGTAAATTTCATGGACATATTTACATGACAATTAATTAAAAGAAACATCCTATACACAAAATTACATAAAAACTAACTATTGTCTATGCAGCAAAGCTGAGTTAGATAGGGAGCTACAAAAGAGAACTGAGAGAAGAGTGTATGATAAAAACAGAGATAACTGAAAAATGTCAATGAAAATGCACATTAGATGACAAAGATAAAGCAGAATATAGTTCAAAATGTCTCAACTGTAAGATCTGATTATTATATTTTCAATAGTTAAGATTAAAGTACAAATTCATGGTAACAGCATAAATAAATTATAACTAATTTAAAAATAGATTGTAATAAATTTAAAATCATTTCTTTCATTGTGTTTCCTACTTCTCTAACCACTTTGTTGCACAGACAGTACACACTTTAGTCATAAGTTATCATCTCCCAACACACCACATTCACTTCGGCGATGGAAGAGATTCAGAAATACAACATCTGACTGTGTATGAGTTCTCCAAACCATGCTCAGGACAGTGGATTCCATGCCTTAGCAATTTGTCTTCAGTATGTTCATTATTTTATTAACTAATCTCAGAACCTGAAACAAAATATTCTTCTATAAAATGAGTAAATTAAAGAATTTCAAGGAATTAAAGAGAATCTATTTTCAATTGTACAGTAAAATTCCCATTATTCAAACATTCATTCTTCATGGTTGTAATTACCGACGTAGAAATGATTTGATGGCACAATGAGACATGTTACGAGTTTTTTTCCAGCTTACGACATGTAGGTACTCTTGCCCTCATTTGTTTGCATGATAGTGTTTGCTGAATTTATAGAGTAAGTCTTTCTCCATATATTCAAGAGGTAATAAACAACAAGACATAACAAAATTTGCCAAAAATAACACAATAAGTCAGTAGGTTTTGAAGCAATGGTGAATTTTGCAAACTTTTCACAATTTTCTCTTAGAATTTAAAACAAAATAAATTTAAAACAGCTAAATTAGAAAGTAAGTCTTATACAATTTATTATGTTTGTTACTTTTGTACTAATGTTGTGTGAATTAATATTACATAACTGAAATCTTATTAATTCTTGAATCACAGTCTATAATACTTCAAGACATTTTATATAGGGTTAGTGGGTATTCATTGAAAGTTTATAATAGTATGTTAATTACAAGAAAACAAAAATTTTAACATGCTTATTAGTTATGGTTATGGTTATCAAAATCTAAATGTCTCTGCATATTTCTACTTCATAATTATTGTTTTGGTAATGTTTCTCTATTGTTAAAAAATATTTAAATATGAAAATAGCATGTGCCCCTATTGTAGACAATCACCTGGGATAATTCTAAATATTAAGTATTTGGCCAAGTGTCTAATTTCTCCGTAATAAGCTCATAACATATTGTTTTTACTTTATGAGGTCCACAAAGGTTCAAACAATCCCCTTACGAACTACTTTTGTGTACAAAGTTGTGGATTTGATACAATGGACATAAATTCCTAAATAATTGTTCTAACAATCCTACATAAATCCTACCAAAGTAATGGATAGTAACAAGAACAAGCTCAAAAGGACCGAATAAATTGAAAACTGTAACTGTTTACCACATTAGTATGAAAAGACATAAAGCATAAGATAAATATAAGATTTGAGAAATACATAAAATGAGCAATAAGCATACCTCAGCATTCCATAGGAGCTATTGAATTCGAGTTGTCACCGTAGCCGCTCAAACTGCCTTGGAACTCCATACCACTTATTTGACTATCCGCGTTGAAGGACGCCCCGTAGGAATCGTTACTTGGCGCATGTGACGCCTCCAAGTTAACATCGGCTGAGTCGGGTGCCACCGCGGCGTCGGGCTCGGCCCAGTTGATTTTGAATCTTGTCACGCGGGGCTCCGATGCTAGAATGTTCCTCACCACCTTGTCGAACTGCGGCTTCGCGGGCGGATTCTCCCGCAACTCCGGTTCACTTTCACTGTATTCGTTGTTAATGAAATATCCCACTCTAACGAACTCCTGTCCTCTATACGAACACGTTAACAGCACTACAGTCACGCCTAGCGCATCATTTTCAGGAATGCGTGTGACATCAGGCGGCGGCGCTTGGAAGACGAACATGTGTCGGCCCTCTGGTATGGGGCCTACGTATATTGTGTCCAGAACCTGGTCGTGCTCCTCGGTCTCGGCGGATCCCACGTAAATCATCTTCCACTCCAGATCCTCCTTTAGTTCTTCTATGCATTCGAAGGTCAATTCGAATTGGAACGGATTTAGAAACGGACTCGGGTTGTCCAGCACAACGACATTGGTTATGTGAACCTTTGCCATGTTGAAGTTACAGCTATCTCCGAGATTTTCGAGAGTTTTTGTTGCTTTATAATCCGACAACAAACAGGCTATGCAAAAATATAAAGATTATAGTAAATTGAATGCGATTTAGATTAACCGAAGAAAGAAGATTCGGCGAAGTGACAAATATTTTGGCGGTTCAAAAAGTCACGTGATCAAAATAACTCCCGATCGCAACGCCGTACGCGGTATTATTTGGAACCACGATAAAAAAATAAAAATATGACAATGTCATGCGAATCAACATATGATTTTCAATATTGCCGTGATACAAATGCTACAGCAGTTAGGTCAAAGGTTAAATAAATGAAAAACTAATGTAAAAATGAGAATTACAGAGTTAAAACTTACATGGACTGAAGAAATCACCTAGATTCGTTTGCTTAACACATCAACAAACGTCAATTGTCAAACAAATACCACAAAATACAAATCTCACAAATCTGCGCATAGAGAAAAGGGCATTTATACACTAGATGCCGCCCGCGACTACGTCTGTATAAAATAGGGTGAAGGCGTAACATTCACACAGAAAGACAGATATACATTAAAATATACATGATTGTATACCACTTGCATGGTTTTTCTTTCTGAGGTTAATATGTATAAATTTTCTTTACAAACAAATGCGTTGCCGTTCTTTTAGGAAAGACTATGCTCTCTTACTTAAGTTGGGTTTTAATTTCAAAAGTATTTCTTAAGTAACACCTTTTATTTTGAAACTGAAAATTCAATTTATCGTACCATATCGTATTCATTTTACCGTTGCTGGCTTTCTTTCTTTCTTTTTTAGTAATGGCTGGCTTTGTGAGTTATCATAATTCCGCCAAAGTCAAGTTGCAGCTAGGGAAATGACATTCGTAAATCATAAATTTAGTTAACGGAGGTTACTGTTATTAGCATGTTTACCTGAAAAAAAGGTCGTCACATTCAGGACATGATCATCAGTTTTAATTTGTTATGGGAAATAAATTTCGACAAAAGCTTGGGACGAGGAACAATAGTGGGTAGCACGTCATAAAGGGAGATATTTAGTTTGGGACAGTCAATGAATAGATGGTCCACTGTACCATACTAGGTTCCGCAATCACATACAGAGCTATCACGTATTTTGAGTTTAGTCAGGTGAACTAGGGTAGTAGCATGGCCTATTTTTAATCTACAAATAGTAGAAACCACTCTTTTATTAATATCTCCACCTTGAAGAACCATGGTGTAGATGGAATAGTTTGTTGTATGACATAATAATATCTGCCTATACGGCTCTTAGTCTGGAGCCAGTGAGCTTCCCACGACTTAAATAAGAGTTCACGAGCTAATGAGTATAAGTCTTGGTGGAACACCCTGGAATGCTTAGGAAAATTTGAAGAAATGGCATCTTTAGCACAAGCATCCGCAGTTTCATTGCCTGGTATGCCATTATGACCAGGAATCCAGGCTAAGATGACATTTATTATTTTTGGAGACATCTCATCAATGCCTCTCTGATTTTTAATACTTGGAAATTTATATTTAGAGCGAAATTGGTTTACCATTATAGCCTATAAGCAGCTCTGAGAATCTGTAAAAAGTATTGAGTTATTCAGGCAATGTGACTATGAATGAAATAGCTTCCAAGATAGCAATAGCTTCACCTAAAAACTAAGAATTATTTTGTATAATGGAAACCAATCAGCAGCTCCTATAAAACTGTTGTCTTGCAGTTGAGCAGCATCTGTGTGCAATGGGTCCAAGTTTGCCAGTAAGTTGATAGGTTTTTATAGAATGTCTGGACTGCTTGACTCTTCTGTCTGAGTTGAAAAAGAATCCCCTCTCTCCAAAATTTAAGACACACCTCTGCATCCACGGCACCAGACAGTTTTTTCTAAAGGAACAGATTTTAAGGGAATGTAGGAGTTTGCGGAAGAAGTCATAGCATCAAATAATGAAGAGTAAGCAGAAAGACAGTTGACTCGAGTTATTATAGGAAGAGGTGCTAATTTAGAATAATGGATGTAGAAAATGAAGTCCAGTCGGATTTATTTAAGTTATACTTTAAGAGAGGGGGTGGATAATTCAAGGCGGGAGCTCCAAATAGTTGGGAGATTAAAATAGGGAAATAAATGGTTACTGCCAAATGTACTGTAAAGAATGTCCCAGCTAAACTGAGAGGCCACATTTGGAGAACAGACAGTAAGGTCCACTGCACTAAAGTTTTGGGATGGAGAAGTAAGTTTATTGGGTCTACCAGAGTTAATAACACATAGATTTTCTTCATCAGAGATCAAGAAGCAGTGAACCAAAGCTGTTTGACTCCTGTGATCTCCAAGATGTGTGATGAGCATTAAAATCTCCCATTAGAGCAATTGATGCTGAAAGAGATTTAATAATCATTCGGAGCTCTAGAATAGAATTGGCATTAGGATGAGGGATATAGATGGAGGCAAAATAAATACCAGACTTTCACCAACACTGTATTAATCCTATCTGAATAGTTAATTTTTCGCAGCCTAGGGGCTGTTTTTACTAATAGGTCGCTATCTGTCCATCCATCACTCCTATCATCCCGGAGACCTGAGAACCCAGAGACCCCATAGTCCTTGTCCAGCTCTAACCATGCTCTCCGATACAGCAAGTAATGATGGAAAGAATTTATTAATCATATATCTCAGGTCTGACTCTTTGCTTCTCATGCAATTACAATTCCATTGGATGATATAGTTTTGAAGTTATAAGCGAACAGACGGACACAATTTCCAAAAACAAAATTTCCAGAAACGGTTTTTAGTGATACCTAGTTAATTTTTAGGGTGCCGTATCCAAAGGGTAAAACGGGACCTTATTACTAATACTCCGCTGTCTGTCTCTCTGTCACCAGGCTGCATCTCATGAACCTTGATAGTTAACCAGTTGATTTTGTCTTATAGTGCCGTACCGTTCTATAAAAACAAATAATAAAAAATATAAACTTACATTATGACTCTACTTAAACAGTGTGATTAAAATATTAAAAAAATTGACTCCAACTAAGCATCACGCGCCATTCTACAATATTTTGTTTGTTAATCACACTATTTGTAAATGAATTGAAAATTATTTTCTACGTTTTAGTTCGGTTATCTACAAAAGCCTGTTTATTAGTTCTTTTTAAGCTATAATTTATTTCATATAGCAATAAACATTGGCAATGTCACCACAAGAAAATAGGAATGGCGTCCGCATTTTGCGTGCGTTGTGAATTCGTCCTGTCAAACTTTACTTTGCTGTGATTTAAAGACTGCTATTGCTACTTCGTAATAAGGATACATATCATTAGCGACTGCGTGCACAGCGAACACAGTCATGAAGGCCGACCGATGAAAGTTGCTGCAACTACCGTTCGCTACGTTTAAGTTTAAATAATTAAAGGTAAGCTAACCGAATTCGTCTTTCGCCAAAATAAATAGAATTTTGTATTTGTTTTCTAAGTCAAAATAAAAAGCTTCAATAAACGAGACTAAACATTTCATAGTATATGTAATAATCTAACGAACAAAATAGGATAGCGTTAAAGGCAACTTTCTTTAAATTCCTAATGAAGTCACTTTACTGTGAAAGGACTCGAATACTTTCTGCTTGAGTCACCTCGACGAACAAATGTTATCCTTGTTAAGTGATGCTCAATTGCTTGTAATTAATTCCGGGTAAAGTTTATATGTGAAGATTCAATTAATTGTCAAAAGAACCATCTTTTGCAGTATCTAAATTAACAAAAATGTAAAATTTTATATGTGAAAGTTCATTATTTTGTACATGCATAAGAAAAACAAAGTATTCTATTAAAAAGTATTTGACAGTGTTGAAAGAAGATATGTATTTAGTACTATAAACATAATTAATTGGTTTTCTGAACTATAGCGGGTTTATCATAGATTATTACTTAATTAATAATATTAAATTATATTATACATTTTTAAATTCTATAATCACTTAATTTAAAATTTAACCTTAAACCTCTGATATTGCAGTAACAAATAGTTTTTTTATAACCTTATATGAAAAAAGGAAACATTGATTTTCAAATTCTAAAGTATATTGTATAATTAGGCATACTATAATTAATGTAAATTAATTTTATTCAGTTTACTGTTTAATTTTGTTTGTAGTCCAGAAAATAGTACAAAACTAAAGAAAGGACACTAAAAGCTAGAGTTAAGTAAACTAGTTCATCATCATCCGCAACAAGTTGTCCACTGTTGAAAATAGGGCTCCCCCTTAGAATGCCACTAGAAATGACACTTTGCCATTTGCATCCTTCGGTTGATTGCTAGTTGAAGTAAACTTCACTGAAACATATTAAGCTGGTGCATATTTCACTTCTTGCCAATTGCCTATGATATTTTAGCTTCTAGTCTCAATAGTTAAATTATAGAGATAAATAAAATGGAGTCTATTTTTAATATTAGAATAACCCAAATAATACTAAATGCATATGGATGTATACATGGTACATTTGTACAATTTTTGTCTGTCTGTCTTTCTGTTGGTTCTGGCTACTCTTTGTAACAGATAGTTGATGTAGTAAGGAGTAACTAGGCTATGCTACATTTTTAACAAATCAGAAAGTCATGGATAAATTATTTAGATGGACATTTCATATTTGAAATTTAAATTGTTTATAGTGCTAATCTTTGCACTTAAGATTTTACATTAAAATATGTAGAAAAAGTACGAAAAGATTGTCGCCGTTATGGGGTTCGAACCCACGTCTTCGGCATTCGCGGCCTGACGCTTTAGCCACTAAGCTAAGCGGCTGATTGCCACACCGACGAAAATCTAAATGTCTTTTATCTACATTGGTTTTTAGCATTCGAAGCAACAGCCACAGTCTTTTCGTACTTTTTCTACATATTTTAACTTTATATTTGTTTTGAAAACTTTGGTTGTATCACTAACAGGACTCTTGATGGTTTAATTAATTTAATGCATATTTACAGCTGTATGAAGTCTAGTTGTAAAAATAAGTATTATTAAACTGTCAAGAAAATATGTTCCTCTTCTCTATACTACAAGTTGAGTTGGCTTTGTAAACTAGCACACCCTACACAACATATAGACAAAAATTTGACTATACCTTAGTTTAATTAATCTTAGATCAAGAAGCGACTCGGCATGTAGTTGACCTTGAATGCTGTGAAAATTTCCAAACATTAGTAACTAAATAATTTAATATTTAAGTCTATAGCTGGTGTAGGGGCCACACAACAGGTTTGTCTCTGTGTCACCCATAGGTTGACTGGGAGGGAACAGAATAGAAATACACGTTTATTTTTTTGTGTGAAATTTAAAATAAAACAGTCTCACTGTTGCATGAAAAAGAAATAAAAATGTTATCCCCTGTGCGAGAACTTTTTTCTTGTGGAAAAGACATGAAAAAACATAATGGTTTAATTAATTAACATGGAATTATAGGGAAAAATCTAAAAGTAGTTATTGGTGGCGTTGGTAATACCATGTAGGTGGTCAACCAATTTTACCAATGGTCAACCAATTATGTCGCGTTTTAGCTGTCATTGATTTATGTAGTTATTGTTGTTGTATAAGTTTTTGGTTTCAGAACGTTTTGAATGTCTGAAAGGGCACTATGACATCTAACCGAGACGAGGGACCAGTATACTACAGAGAAATACAGAAGAATGCATTTCTTAAGAGGATACCAAATGATGTCAATCCAGGAAAACTTAGACCTTTGGGACACAAGGTAATATATATATATTAATGTGCTAAGGAAAAACTTTGTTCCCCTTTTTATTTGTGACTGCCATATAAGTAGGAGAGCTGATAAACTATGTCTTTTAATATGACATGGAACTGCAGATCTGGCTGGGGAGTAGAGGGGCTAAATCAACCCTTGTATTTAAAAAAATGTTAGGAATACTTTTTTTCAAAAAAATATCTAGTCGCGCCAAATAAACGCTTTAATATTTTTCGGTTCACATATTTATTATTTTTACGTACTCTTTGTTCCGATTATATTTAAAAGCAAATATTTGCTATTTAAAATTAAAATTATTTCTTCATTCTGAAGCCTCATTACCAATACAGAAACTACTCCAAAATGGAGTAATTTGTCGCGCAGCTGTTTAGTCTGGGAGTTTTATATCTCGTGACGTGATTTCCGTGTGTTCAATTAAATTTAATTATGCATTAACGCATTTGCAACCCTACGGGTGTTGCAAATGTCCATGGGCTGCGGTATTCACCTAACATCAGGTGGACCGTCCGCTCGCTCGGCGTTTTCTCACATAAAAAAAATGTGAGCCGTCACGGACGCCTGGCAGATGTGAAACATCGAAATTATTTTGTAAAAGTAACATGCAGAAAAGAACAGATTGTGATAGGAACTAAATATGTCATATAATAAAATAAAACATTACGATTCTTTTTCCAGATAACGATGACTATTTATTGAATAAACATTTATTTTCATTAAATACAAAAATTCACGAATTTATTTCAACTCATGACTACTCATGATATCTTAATAGTACACACAATTAATTAAAGTTAATTTAGTTAATTACTAATTCATTTAAATTTGAGTAATTAATCGTACACACCACTGCATATAGACTGTATATATATATATACTGTATATATATGTATGTATATATATATATACATATATATATATATATATATATACATATATATATATATATATATATATACCATCATACGGCATGCGTCGCTACGCCAGAAGTCGGTTTTACGTGCGGCTATAGACGTTTCACATGAAAACGCCGCGCCGCCCGTTCCAGAGGCCCGCGCTGAAGCCGATGTGGACGCTGTTCTGCGTGCACAACGGGCGCACGCCGTTCCTCGAGCAGTACGCGGGGCCGGACGCGTCGGCCGCCCTGGCGCACCGGCCCGCGTGGCGCGCGTGCCTGCGCGGCGCGCGCCACGTCACCGCCAGCGTGAAGCCCCACCCGGGCGACGAGTACGACTTCCTCGTGGACACGGACAGCGGGCCCGTGAGGATGCTCGCGCCCGACTGGTGAGCGCGCGCCCCGGCTGTCGCCTATATACAGCGTGTCGTTACCATCGCGACAATAAATGAACACACGTCTAACGCTACTTGCCAATAATCATAAAAAATATTAACGTTAAACGAAAATAATTAAAAAAAAATCTCAAACATACTAATTAAGTAAAACAGAAACAAAATTTGTAACATCCTATACAACTCGCGCCACTGCGTCGCATTACAAGCCTCTCCTTCTAACAGTACGTTTTGTCTCTTTTAAATTCATACAACCCATTCATATGCTTTGTGACCTTTACAAATGAACTTTACGTTACGCTTTTATAGGTAAGGGTGTTCTAAAATTCTTTGTTTTGGAAAATTTAATAACTCTATAAATATCGATGTTTAAAGAATTTAAATGTTTAATACAACTTTATAAAGTTATCCCCTATATGTGTGTTCATTTATTGTCGCGATCGTAACGACACGCTGTATATGTTCGGGGCGTTTTTTTTTTGTAATTGACGCCAGCCAGCGACCTCTTCACCTGGCGGTAGGCGATAACAGACGCCTGACGCTTCACAGGAGACCAGCGCGAAGTGGGAGTGTCATACTTCTGCGTTTCGTTTGGTTGAGTGAGGTAGCCGTGGCCCATTTTATTAGAAGGTGGCAACGCATCTGCAACCCTCGTAGCAAATGCCAATTGGCGGCGCTTGCCACCTTTTCACATAAAAAATATATCTCACAGGAATTTATGTATTTAACATTCGCGTAAATAGAAGCTCTTATCTTCATTTCAAACCTATTCCAGGGAATCGATGCAGGAGTGGGTGACGACACTCAGGAACAAGCTGCAAGAGCTGAGGATCCTCGCGAAGGCAGAGAACGTGTACTGCGCCGCCCCAGTGGCGCCCCCTCCCCGCGCCGCCGCCAGGGACCCCACCTCCCCTCTGCCCCCAACACCGCCAGTACCACCAGATAGGTTGGCAGCCTCTTTATGATCGCCATCTTCTTTATATCGACGGGAGAAAATTCATCTCCTGCTACCCACAAAAAAGTGACTGCTCCAGACCACGAAAAACGTTGCATACTAAAAAACACATTCTTTTTTTGTAAACTTTGGAAGTGATTACTGCGACTTGTGTACGTCTATTGTTCTATATCTGTTCTTAGTCTTTAATAACGTTGGGCTTGGGTTATCACAACCTTCGGACTTAACTTCACACTGTACTTCTGTGAGCCTGTGGTGCTTCCCTGGAAGAGACCCCCAATTATTGCAACAACAGAAGACGTTGCATGACCCTGCCTCAGTAATTTCATATTGAAAGCCTTTAATTAAAGTTGTATTTGTATAAAGACGAAGAAGGCGCCATCTATAGACAAGCAGTTCAGTTTCAGTTATCTATGTTTCTTTATTTGCATGCAACAAACTATTAATTTACAACTGCTAACATTTTATTTTGTAACTTGTTTTATCTCACGTATGCTAGCAAAAGTAACATTTTAATTGTCAAAATGCCTAATAAAGGTGCCGAAAAACAATTTCAGGGTGCCCGGCATCGAACTGGCAACCCCTGCCGTCCGCCCCACGCCGGAATCCAACGAGCCCGCCCCAGCCGCCGCGCCAGCTCCATCCGCCCCGACCGCCCAACCCGCCGCTCCGGAACCGAACCCGGAACCAGTCGACATATCCGGCTGGGGCGAGCTAGCCGCGCTGCCCAGCACCAGCACCAGCACCACCACCACCACCACCGCCACGGAGCCTCGGAAGGGGCTCACCAGGATCTGCGGCCAGAACATATGCCTGGACGACTCGATATTGAAACGCGAAGCAGAGCCTGTCACCGATGGTGGGTTCGTTGCCGAGGGGGAGGGCGCTGGCGAAGTGGAGGGCTTCACGCAGCGTGTACTCGTCAGCGACGGCGATGACTCCGTCGGTCTGGATGTGTCGCATAGGTGGGTGTGTGTATATTGAGAGTTTTTTTTAGTTTTGTTATTCTTTTGAATGTATTGTTTTACTTTATCAATTAAAATGATAACAGTTAAACTTTGCGGCTGTAATAGTTTAGACAGGAATAGGGAGATCAACAAGCGTGCCATTTAAAGATTTTTACTCGCAAGTTTTTGCACCTAAACGACACAACAGTTGTAATTTTGACAACAAAATTTAAAATTAATAAACATGTATAGTATATAAATATAGACAGAATGAAAATTCTAGTACTCATTAGCTATTTAGAAAGTCCCCACTTGACACGACGCGTACTTCTAAATACTCATGAAGCTACTCTTTGTAGTTTTGTCTTTAGTGTTTTTTTAATATTGCGACTCTCTATTACGCACACAGAGTTTTTCAAATATACTAAACTAATAGGTAGTATATACCAAAGTACATATATAAGGTAACTATATCAAAGTACTAATACTTTGACGTCCCGAATGGCTCAGTGGATAGTGGACCTGTCTAATGCGCCAGAGGGTTGTGGGTTCGACCTACCTTCCTTAAAAAGTATTGTGTGATGAACTGATGAATGATAAAATGCGTGTTTTTATAGTATTTGGTGTTTATCTCTATTTACAAAAGAAAAGTATGGGTAAGTATATTTAGCAGTTAACAAAATCTTTGCATTGGAGGCCTAACCTCGTGTATTCTTTCAGACCGCCGCAGCGCGCCAACGTGACTGTGATCCAAGTGTGCAACAGGCCGGAGGGGGGTGCTTTCGCAACGGCACCGCGGACTCCGGATCCCGGGGTGCGGAGCGCGGAGGATCCCGGGCCGCGGATCCCGATCCCGGATCCCGGGCCGGGCAGCTTCGTGAACATCGTGCACACGGACATGGAGCCGGCGGCGGGCCGCTCGGACTACGGCCACCTCAGCCTGACCACCACCGTCAGCCTCACCGGCGAGGCGCCGCCGGGGGATTCCGTGTACGAGCGCCTCTGCATGGCGTCCACATCGGCGGATCTGGCGGATCCAGCGGATCTAGCAGATCCACCGACATCCGCGCGGATCCACGGCGAGAGGCCGCGCAAGTCCTCCCTGCCCAATTTGGACCCGGAGCCGGCGTACGAGTATTTGTACCCGAGCTCGAGTCGCGACAGCCCCAATAGGAGCCGCTCGGAAACCTCGCCGGCGGACGACGGCGCGATTTCAAGCCCAATTGCGAGGGCGATAAGGCCCAATGTGGAACGCTCGCAGAGCCAGAACGCCTGCGACGGTGCGCCCACACTTAGAGAGAATCCGACGAGACGCGCACAGAACGGCAGCCCGAAGAGAGAGCCTAGAACAGGTCTGTGTGCTTCATCATTTCATCATTTCAGCCTGTTTGAGTCCACTGTTGAACATAGGCCTCCCCCATAGACTGCCACGAAGTACGATCCTGAGCCACCTGCATCCATCCTGTGTGCTTATTGATATTATACTGCCTTTGTCGCGTTTGGATAAAATTATTAGAGTAAATTTTTTTCCTTGTGCACGCACACCGACAGCCAAAAAGCGACACGACGCATGACAATTTTGGGGTACTACTATGGCAAACAATAATAATTTTTTGAAACTTACTTTTACAATTTTTGTAATTCCGAGTTATTTAATTAAACTGTTGTCAAATGTATTTAATGTCTTTTACAAAAACAAGGCACAGGGGATAAAATTCTTAGTTAATATTTAATTACAATGATAGGATATATTATAGGTATTTAGTTAATTGTTATTTATATTTTTTTCACAAATAACCTAGGCCTAGCTAGTCCAAGTCCACTGTCTGAATGGCATGTAAAGTTCAAATCAAGTAACGGAATTATTTGCATTGAACGGACCAATTTTTTGATTTTCAGAGAAGAGCGAACCACCAGCTAAGCCGATCTGGAGGCGTGGCTTGACGGAGCTCTCGCTGCTGAGCAGGCTCCGTGGCCTCGGCCAGGGGAGGAGGCAGGAGAGCCCCACTCGCCAGGACAACGAATCTGGAGACAGGTGAGCCTGTACATTGTCCCGCTGCCGGACATAGCCCTCCGTGGCAATTTTTCGGACACATTTTTTACACGATGTTCTCTAGTCCCAAACTAAGCAACGCTTGTACCATGGGTACTAGAAAACTGATAAACATACTTAAACATACTTTTCTTTTGTAAATAAATACATGTTATACATTTATAAACACCCAGACACTGGAAAAACACTATGTTCATAACACAATGTTTTTCCAGTAGTGGGGATCGAACCCACACTCTTTGGCGCAAGAGGCAGGCTACACCCCGCGCCAAACGGTCGTCATTGATATAATACTTGTATAATCTAATATATAAAATTCTCGTGTCACGGTGTTTGTAATTGAACTCCTCCGAAACGTCTCGACCGATTTTCGTGAAATTTTGTGTTTATCGGCCAGGGTGGAGAATCAGACATATATTTTTCATCCCCGTAAATGTTAAGTGTGGTCCACCCCAAACATTTTTTTTCTACCTTTGCTGGGTCAGCTAGTAATTATATAAATAAATCAGTAGTATGCTTACAAGAAATTATGTTGAAGAACGATCCTGTTTCGCCATTAAACGTAAAAGTTTGGTGAGAAAATTATAGCTTAAATGTCTTTTTATATTTTTGGATTAATAAAAAACCCACCAAGTACGAGTCGTACTTGCTCACGAAGTGTTCCGCACACATAAACGACAAAAAAATCATGTCTTGTATGGGAGCGGTTCCATACCATTATCTATGTAAAGTGTTAAAGTAAATATCAAAATAATATAATAAAAAATCGCTCCATTATTCTAGAAGTTAAAAGTAAAAGACAACAAGAAGCCTCTCCATTATTCTTGAGGTTCTTTTTAACCTTGAACTCACTTTTGCAGGGGCGTGACGTCACCGGTGAAGGTGGTCCACAGGTCCAGGCCCCAGGGCAGAGTGGACAGCACCAGGAGAAGGAGCAACTCACTCAGCAACGGTGTAGATCTCAGCATTTTTACTGGTGAATACTGAATATCTTACGGTTAATAATGTGTTCTATATCTTGTCCACTAAGAAGAGATTAGCTCTGGCTTTAGGCGCAAATGGCTGCTCTTGGAGAACACAATTTTACTCAACAAATATTAAATTTGACAGCGATCATCTCCGTACCCATCCTGTACCGATGGATGGTCAATCCAAATACATACACAACGGTGTCCTTCCTCAAAGGACCGAGACGGTTGATTTACTATTGGCTACATTCGACATTATCACTATCGACGCTTGCGCGTTCTTATGAAACGTTTAATTATAATAATTAATACACAAGTTCGTAGAGATCAGATTCAGAGTTAGAATCAAATTCTGCATATGCTCTGTTAATATGTCCGTCGTCTATAAAAACATCCTGTATATATATATATAAATACGTGGTATAAAACAAAGTCGTCACGCTGCCTATCTGTCCCTATGTCTGCTGAGATCTTTAAAACTACGCATCGGATCTTGATGTGGTTTTCTTTACTATATAGAGAAATTTTTATCTGTATAATACATTGCACCCGTGCGATTTTTATGTCTATATTTTTATTTTTTATCTATAAAGCCAACCAGACTAGAAAACAAATGAATAAATAATAATAAAGATATAAACTACAACATTCGGCGAAGTAAAGGCGGGGAATGACTTACGTTCGCAGGGCAGTCGCCGCCGCGGCCGCTGGGGGGCGCGATGGTGCCGCTGCGGGCGCGCCAGGCGGCCACGCTCCGCGCGGAGCAGCGCCGGGGCGCCGCCGTCGCCGCCTCCGTCGCCGTCAGGGACCCGCCGCTCTTCGCGGACTACGAGCGGCAGGTCTGGTGCGTGCACCCCCGGTCTCCGGTCTCCGGTCTCCGGTCTCCGGTCTCCGGTCGTCGATCGTCGATCTCCGGTCCCCCGACCGTTCTTGTTCCGCACGCAAGTGCGATTGCTCTTCCGGTCTCCGGCCTGCTGCCTCCGATCACCGGTCCTTTGGTAGCTCGTGTTACGTACGCAAGTTGAACAGCTCTTCCGGTCTTTTGTCTTCCGGACTCCGGTCTCCGTCCCCCGGTCCTTTGGTAGCTCGTGTTACGTACACAAGTTGGACAGCTATTCCGGTCTTCTGTCTTCCGGTCTCCGGTCTCCGGTCTCCGTCCCCCGGTCCTTTGGTTGCTCGTGTTACGTACGCAATATGGACAGCTCTTCCGGGCTTCTGTCTTCGGTCTCCTGCCTCCGATCGCCGGTCCTTTGATAGCTCTTGTTCCGTACGGAAGTTCGATCGCTCTTCCGGTCTCCGGTCGAGCGGGAGTATCAAATACTTAGCCGGCGGTATCAAATACTTTGTATTCTGAGGAGCGATTGCCGACCGGATCGAACTAGCCTGCTAGGGGCGGATTGGTTACGTGGAAACGGTAAAGTAGTGAGAGGCTCTTGAAGTATTTGAAATGAAACACACGAGTGGTTAACGCTGCGGTTTAATTCAGACTGAGAGGACAGACGAAGGACACGCACAGATTCATAATACATTACACACCTCCACCCTTAATCTATATTTTCTCTTATACAATGCAGCATAAAACAAAAAGTACAACAATAATATAATCTGAACTAGAATTTATAACGCGGTGGGTTATTAATACGACATTGACGAAATGGACGAGACTGGGGCGGCTCAGGGGGTAGCTCGGGCAATTGTGTGTTACTCTGAACCGGTTGTTCTTGGCAGTCCCGAAACTCTTCCTGGTTATCGGAGCCGTCGGATGCTTCTGTGCCTATCGCCGACGCATCCCTCACGGAGTGACCCGGACTCGGCGCCTCGTACAGCTGACTTCTCTGTTCCGCGTCTTCGTTGAGGCTAGAAGTACTAGAAGGACAGATTAATGAACTCCGTAACCGTTGTTTGAGCTGATCTACGTGTTTATGGGTCACCTTGCCAAACGCATCGGCGACTTTTCTGTGATCTTTTCTGTGATCTTCCCTGCCACCCATTTATCTTGGCCACCGTACTTACGTAACCAGACCTCATCCCCCAGCCGTAATTGACGTGTCCCCCCGGTGACATTTTGTTGCTGACGCTTTATAGCTTTCCTAACTATGTCGTCTCTATTCGGTAATAGTGCATCTAACTTAGTACGCAATCTACGACCAACCATTAATAATGCCGGCGTTTCCCCCGTCGTACAATGTTCTGTATTTCTATAATACAGTAAATATTTATTTAAAGATAAGGTAATGTTTAAATTTTCCTTAACAGCTTTCTTAATAACTTTTTTAATTATTCTGACTGCATTTTCAGCTGCACCGTTTGATGCAGGATGGTAAGGCGCTGAAAATATATGTTCAATACCATTACTATTTATAAATTGTGAAAATTCGCTGCTTGTAAATGGAGGGCCATTATCGGAAACAATTTGTTTCGGTAACCCAAAACGTGCAAATACGTCACTCAAAACTGTGATCGTGTGGGTTGCCGCTGTGCTACGGACTTCAGCGACTTCCAACCATTTTGTTCTAGCATCAACAATAACTAAAAAGATTTTACCTGCGATTGGTCCTAAAAAATCAATATGTATGCGCGCCCACGGCTTATCCGGCCAAGGCCATGGACTGGGCACATGTCGTTGCGGTGCGTCCCCCTCTGCTGCACACACCCGACATCCCCGACACATGGTCATAATGGCCTCGTCCATACCTGGCCACCATACGTAGCTCCTAGCGAATGATTTTATTTTTACAATACCCATATGCGCCTCATGGAGTACTGTTAAGACCTTTATCCTACAAGCTTCTGGTATGACTACCCGGTGTCCCCACAGAATGTAACCTAGCTCTTCATATAACTCTTTTTTACGATTGAAAAACGGTTGAAGAGTTTTTATCTCATTATTCGACGGCCACTCATCTCGAATATACCTTAATATTCTGCCTAATAACGGATCTCGGCATGTCTCTTTTTTAATATCATTATAGTTTAATAACATCGCATTATCCGCAAAATGCAAAAAAGTTTGTTCCGGAAAATTAATTTCTTTTAAAGTAGTAACAGCCGGCATCCGTGACGGACTTATAATTTGGGGTAATGGCACAGAATGTAAAAAAGTATTTCTAGCTCAAAAGCGCTGTATTAGAGCTCTTAGTAACATTTCATCATATATATCATGCAGGACTTATTTTAAGACCCTAAATATACTTCCTTTTCCTTGTCTCTATATATTTGAGGTTTGCAAATTTGTAAAACAAAACTAGAATATGTTTTTACAAGCTAAAGATGTGACAAAAATAAACTTACGGAACCAAGATAAATTAGTACAAGATACATTTCCTAAAAGTAAGCGCTTTCAAAAAAATAGCTATGCAATGTGCAATACTATTTATAACAAGATACCCTCACATATAAAACAATTACCATATAATATGTTTAAAATTTCGTTACGACGATGGCTACTAGAGAATCTATTTTACACAATAAATGAGTTTTTAAATTGTAATATTTTTTTGTGTAAATCGATGCATTAATTAATTAATATATCTATTAAAATTGTAGGACAATTTTAGTTACATGTAAAAAAACAAAAAAAAAAAATTAGACAACTGTATTATAAAAATATATCTTCTAGACATTTGCATGCTGTTTAAAACAGCTAAATAGGTTAGGTTGACATTTGTGACAACAACAAGATAACAAGACCAAAAATTTTTTTTCTGTACTACCTATTTATCAGCAAATAAAGAAACTTAAACTTAAACTTAAGCCATCTGCGACGTTTTCCTTAGATGTAACGTACTCAATGTCGTATGTATAAGCAGCTAACTTAATCGCTGTAACCGACTGGCCGCCATCGATGGAATTCCCTGCTTAGGACCAAAAATCGTGACTAGGGGTTTGTGGTCAGTACGTAATGTGAAACGTCTGCCATACAAATATTGGTGTAATTTTTCTAAACAAAACACAATGGCTAGCGCTTCGCGCTCAATCTGGGAATAATGTTTTTCGGCCGCTGTGAGCCCGCGTTGCCGTCCTTATCGCACCGCTGACTTAGCACGCCCCCTACTCCTCGCGCGCTTGCATCGCATGTCGAAAATAAATTAAAATTGTTTTTATTTTCTTAAACGACAACTCGCACTCTCGATCCCAATTCCAAATAGTACCATCTTTTAATAAATTATATAATGAAGTTTTTAACTTTAAGTGCTGACTTATCACGTGCTCCGCGGTGAAGGAAAACATCGTGAGGAAACCTGCATATTTTCGAAATAATAACAAAAAAAATATATTTCGAATATATGTGAAGTCCGCCAATCCGCAGTGGGGCCGCGTGGTGGACTATGCCCTGATACCCTCTGTATAGAGGAGGCCTTTGCCCAGCAGTGGGACATGTATAGGCTGTTACTTTACTTTACTTTACTTTACTATAACGGTGCAAGTATTGTGCTTAAATTCTTAACAAATTTAGCGTAAAAATTAATTGTTCCTAAAAACGATCTTAAGTCGGTAACGTTAGAAGGACGGGGAATATGTACAATACCTTCTATTTTTTCCGGATCGACTTTTATTCCGTCCGCAGATATAATGTAACCTAGATATTTTACCTCTTTCGTCATAAAAGAACAATTACTTTTTTTTTAATTTATTCCGTGACTGTGCAATCGTTCCAAAACCTTTTCTATAATTATTAAATGTTCCCGAATACTAGGTGACCCGATGATTACGTCATCTAAAAATACTTCCGTATTAGGGATATCGTTAAATAGGTTGGCCATAATCCGTTGAAAAATTCCCGGACTCGAGGATAACCCGTAAACTAATCTTTTATACTTAAATAAACCCTTGTGTGTATTTATGACTGTCAAATTATCTGGGTCATCCAATTCTATTTGATTATATGCTTGTGTTAAGTCAATTTTTGTAAAAATTTTTGCTCCGTTTAATTTTACTAAAAGGTCATCGATACGCGGCAAGGGGTATCTCTCGATTTGTAGGACGGGGTTTAAGGTTATTTTATAGTCAGCGCAGATACGGAGTCCACCATCAGCCTTACGTACCGGTACCAATGGAGTAGCCCAATCCGCGAACTCAACGGCCTCGATGACACCGGCGCGCAGCATACTGTCTAGCTCTTGTTCAACGCGTTCGCGCAGCGCATAGGGTACCGGCCCAGTCCCTCCGTAAACAAATTTTTATACCTGTCAAGCAATTGTATTAAAGTTTTGTTATGACATTCATTATAAGTTTTTGCGTTACATATACTAGTGGCGACATTTTGATACATAGGTATTTTAATCTCTAATTCCGAGAGCCATTGTCTCCCTAGTAACGATGTGGTCCCTCCTTGTATAATAAACAATTCCATGAATTTGCCTTTGTTTTTAAACATAACACATGATTTAATTACACCAAGAGGTTTGATTGTGGAACCATCATAAAATTTAAAAACTAAATTTGACTTGTCCATAAGTCTGTTCGAAAATAATTTGTCGTAAGTTTCTTTGCTTATACAAGATACAAGAGAACCTGTGTCTATCTCCATTGAGAGTGGGATGCCATCCACTAATAATTCTAAGCTTACCGGCTTATAACTATTTAAGCTGAGCTGGTGAAGATCTTCTACCAACCTCCGTCCCTCCTCATCTGATAACGGAGGTTCATCTTCTCCCGACAGCCCTGAGTAGATCACCCTGTCCGCCGTTTTCTCCACCGCCCGCACATGAGCCATCATATTATTGTTCAGTGGCCCCTCTCTTGACCGTGTCACCCCCGACCGCATGACGCACACGCGTCGAAGGTGTCCTCTTTTTTTACACCTACCGCAGATATAGCGTCTGTGTCGACACTCATCGCTATCGTGATCTGACGCTCCACACGAATTGCAAGATTTTGCGTTGCCAACCAGTGTCCGATTCGGCCACGTGTTAGCCGATTGCCAACCACTTCGACCTCGAAAGTGACGCCCACGCGCAGAGCCGGGCCGCGTGGCCAGCGTATGCAGCGCTCCCGATGCCCCCTCACCGTCGCTGCCACCACTGCATTCGCCTTCTCCATTCGCCGTCCGTTCCACTGCAGCCGCATCCTTCTCCGCCGCTTCCATAGCACACGAAATTCTGACCGCGCTTCCGTATTGTAGATTTTCTTCCGCAAACAGACGTTGTCTAATAGTTTCGCTCCGCAGCCCACATACTAATTGGTCTCTTAAATTGTCTTCAAGCGCATTTTTAAAGTCGCAATGTTTCGACATTTTTTTTTGTTGCGATATGTACTGTAAAATCGACTCACCCTCGTTTTGCCTTCTCTGCCGGAATCGAAATCTTTCTGCCATGTACGAGGGTTTGGGCTGCAAATGATTTGTCATAAGTTGCACAACCGTCTTGTAAGAATTTGTGCTGGGTTTATCCGGGCTCGTTAAATAGTAAGCAGTTCGTACGCTTCGTCGCCCATTGCCGCGATCAATGTAGGTAGCCATAGTTGCTCTTTCACGTTGTTAACTTTAAAATACATTTCTGCCCGTTCTACGTACATCGTCCAATTACCCGATCTCACATTGAACTCCGTCAATTTTCCGATCGACATAATTACTAAATAAATAAGCGATTATAATCCTCGTCGCCAATGAAGTATTTGAAATGAAACACACGAGTGGTTAACGCTGCGGTTTAATTCAGACTGAGAGGACAGACGAAGGACACGCACAGATTCATAATACATTACAGCTCTTTTGATGAAAAGAGCACAAATGTAATCCTGCTAGTGTGGCGGTAATCTAATTAATTCATCGGTTTATCTTTAAAAAAGTGTGTAAGTTTTTAGTGGTTGTCGACGTATCTGCAAGCCCTCGTTTTGTAGTGTCCATGACAGCGGTAATCACTTAACAACTGGTGAATCGCCTGCTCGCTTGGCTGCCTTACAAGAAAATGCACCAAAAATTCAAGTTTAGGTGGTGTTGTAGTAAAGTGCCAATTACAGGTATCAATAGCGCCATAATTGTGTTCGGCAGGGTTGCCCGCTGGGGCGCGGGGGGCGCGCGGTGCGGCGGCCGGGCAGGTGACCGAGTGGCAGCCCTGGCGGGGACGCAGCCCACCAGCGCGGCGCACGCCCGTCTCCTCGTCAAGGCCGCGAACACGCCGCTCGTGAGTACACATGCTCCATCCCGCTTGCACTCCGCACAATGCCTATTCCCATCCTGCTCGTGTGAGCACACTCTATCCGTCCCGCTTGCACTCAAATTCAAATATGTTTATCACTACATAGTATAAAACAAAGACGTCCCGCTGTCTGTCTCTCCCTATGTATGCTTAGATCTTTAAAACTACGCAACGGATCATGATACGGCTTTTTTTAGACAGAGTGATTCAACAGGATGGTTTGTATGTGTAATACATTGCACCCGCGCGGAGCCAGGCCGGGTCGCTAGTTCAATATAGAAGAATTACACCTATTGATCGTCAAAAAGCACCACTACGGGTTCGGAAAAAAAAGCCACTGACCTGAGAAGAGCCGACGAAAGAAACTCAGCGGGACTTTTCATTTTTTAAAGTAATTTGACAAAACCTAACAAACACGCGTACAATTTATTTAATTCCCCTTGAAAGAGCCTGAAGGACCGACCTTTGCTCGGTTTTTTTGGTAAATCGTGTATTTTGGAAATTAAAAAAATAAAAATAAAGAAAGCAATTATCTGAAAAGAAAAAAAAGTAAGTGTGTAAATGATCGTGACACGAACCGCGGCCTTCTGTTTCGAGGCCGCCTGATTACCGACCATATTCGAATAGTATTTTTTATTCACTGAAAACAGGGATAAAAGGACATTTTCTAAAAATGAAACCTAGCTAGATCGATTTTTCGCACCGGAATCTACGAAAAACATAGCCTGCCAAGATTCCGAAATTTCATGAAAATCCCTGGATATATATTGCCATAGATTCCGTTTATATATATATATATATATATATATATATATATATACACTCGTGTGAGGTTTCGACTAGTATTAATTGCGGTTCTATTTTGGCAAATGACGAGTATTTTTAATAATAGTAATACAATTTCTCATTCTATTGCAGGTAGACATATTGTTCCACCGGGTGCCGCTCGGCAAGATCTACGTAATAAGTAAACGCGATCGGGAGACAATAGGTGAGTGATTATTGCATTGGCCATTTCAAAACTAACATACTGCCCTACCGTCTCAATACAATAACCTATGGACGAGCACTAAAACTTTACGGGTGACCATGCTTAACGGGATAAACAAAAAATGTTTGAATTGATATTTTCTGGTTATTTCTTGTCAAAATAAAATATTAATATTTTTTTGGAATTATGGAATGCTCAATTAACATTATGTAAAAGTATATACATCGTCTAAAAAATCACGCTGTATAAACTTTGAGTGAGAACAAGGCAAATATATTTAGAGTTGCGCGAATACTCCCACGCTGCACGTCGCGTGCAGCCTCTCCTATAGTTGTAAACTATTTATGTACTATTATGTACTACTACGCAATAACTCAGGCCTGCTTCAAAGGCATTAAAGTTTGGCGTGCCCTATTAAGTATATCATCGCATCACACGTCGTCTGATTTTAATAGTTAGCATATAACACGTAACGATGTGGATTGATTCCTTTTAGCAAACGAAAATAAATCCCCACAAAAATCTCAGGTTGACATGTGCTACAGTCGAACATGCGCATGTTATATCGTCGAACCGGTACATGTTACATGGCACACGTGCATGTTTTACGGTCTAACAAGCGATGTTGTAAAGTTGAATACGCGCGTGTTACATTGTCCAACATTGCGCATGTTATGTTACATGTTCGAACACTGTGCAGGATTGCGATTGGACAGCGAGTGCGTGATTCGCGGGGCGGCGAGCGGCTCCGGGGCGGCGCGCGCCGGCCTCCCGCCCCCCTCTCCCCCCCGCTGGGCGGTCACAGAGGTCAACAACCGCGCCCTCGACCTGCTCAAGGTGAGCTCCCTCCGCTAGGTGCAGTGCACGAGACTGGAGACCCGTTTAAGTTGGTCCAATTCTTTTGAGGGTTCCGTATTCAATGGGTAAAACGGGGCCCTATTACTATGACTCCGCTGTCACCAGGCTGTATCTCATTAACCGTGATAGATAGACAGTTGAAGTATTTTTGTTGCCTCTAACAAATATTAAAACAGACTAAGAAATTATTTAAGTGAGGCTCCCATACAACAGACATGATTATTTTTGTCGTTCTTATAGACAAGCCATTTGACAGATGGTTGATTGGTTTATAAATATTGATGTAGTGAAGGAAGGGACCATCTCATCATATTGCGCGTGTTTTCAATAATGAATCAGAAGCGATTACTTATATTTTTGAAGTAAAACTTCTTTAGGCGCGGCTAGGGAGTAACTCAGATTTTTTTCTGACGGAAGTAACGCTTTTTCTGACGGAAGTGACGTCATAAGTATATGTCATATTTTTAAAATATGTCATGTACTTATGACTTTACTAAATATTTAATCATTTCAGTGATATATGCCGTCAACGCCAAAGAAATTTTACTTCAATCGCGCGTAAAGGTTACACGCACACACTTTTCTTTATTTATTGCATTATATAGTGTATTAAAGTCCATACATGTAGTAAGCATACAATCACAGGACGAAACAAAAGCATAATGCTCCCACCGCACTCTGGTCTGAGCAGCGAGAGATATTTAAAAGATATTGTTATCTCTGTCACACACAAAACTTTTCTTATATATTTTTAACAAGTTTCTCTTATGCCACGTATATATTTTATATGCATTATACTGAAAACTCGTTAGAACTATTCGAAATTGCTTACATTCTCAGGGTGGCGAGGAAGAGGTGAACCGGCTGAGCCTGCACGGTTCAGAGGCGTCCCTGATAATCCAGCCGGCGCCCCTGGTGAAGAAGCTGCGAGCTGCCCTCAAGGCGAACAAGTCCTTATTGCCACTGAGATAAGGCTGAAACTGGCTACGATGTCGGAGACATCGTTCTCACGAATTGTTTTAACGACGACGATACAGTCCTTATCGACTGAGGGGTTAGGCTGAAAATCCGGTGCACGGTTTGTGTCGAAGATAGAACTGTAACAACTCGACCTCTAAAAGCAAAGATGAGTTCTTAATGATCTTCAGATAGGTATGCAAGTTTGCACCTTACTCGTTAGGTTTAAAGTCGAAATCAGTTTGTATTACTTTTGTGACATATATCGTATTTGGTTTCGGTCTAATCTGTTCGGAAACATGGTTTATACGAAACACGTCCCTAAAGACTATGTGATCGTATGTAAGTTTGTGTTTATTGCTATCCACAATTAGGGTATAGATGGTTTCGTATAGTTTTGTTTCCATTGAAACCTTTATATAGACTCGCGAAACGAATTCTTAAGCGTTATGCGATAGGGTCGGAAATCCGTTGGCGTCATAATTGGCTGCCATAACTGTGTCTATCGATTTAAGTTTTCATAGTCCATACTGAACTGGTGCATAATAATTATATGGAATCAATAAATACAAATCGTGGCGAATTGATGGCTTATTTGAAAACGGGATGCGATTAGCATCAATGAGAATAAAGAAATGAATCTCTAAATTTTCAAAAAATAGCCTTCGAAGTACAAGAAAGGTCATACTGATTCATGATTTAATAAATAAATATGTATTAGTACGAATTTTAAGAATTTTCCGCGTTTATTTTAAACTTATATAATGTACGAGTATCATTTTATAGTGGTTACATACTTTCCGTTATCCTGTCACACGAAAATGTGTCATAATTCCTTCGCCATAAAGTTAGTTTCTCGGTGAATATAGTCGATGATAAATCAAAGTTGACGTTGACACTATGTTCTGTACTAAATGAGCAGCTATTCTATGTCAAGAAAGAGAAAAGTATACTATGGAGACAAGGAAGACGGATGCGCCTCGAGATTTAAAGTTAAAGTGACAAACACTTGCCGTCCTCTTTTTTCTTATTGCATTAATTACGCTATCCTTTTTACACCATTCGAACGAAACGTGTGCTGTCACTCTGTTTGGAAATAGGAACACTTTAGATCGGTGATTTTGTATGCGTGTAAGTATGAAATATATCATTGGTCAGCGTTTTATAAACTGTGATAAAAACTCGTACCTTTATCTCGTATAAAAACTACTTACGGAATACTAACAACTTGTCACATCTATAAAACGAAATCGGTAAGCTGAATGACAACGTAATTTTGTATCAAAACCGCTTCTTGAAGTGCATCTTCTCATTCTCTGCTAAGAGAATTGTAAGTTATGATTTAACTATTCATCGAATTTAGGCACATTTCGCGTTATACGAGAGAGAAGGAAGATGCAAAGTAGAGAGAGCAATATACACTCGATACAAAAGCTAATAGAATAAGGTACTATTCTACATGCGCGCGTTGTAAATTTACGTGTCTGAAATTTACAGCGTTATTACGCGTTGCTTAATTATTTTCGTTCGTTGTGCTTTGTGATTTTTTTTTCTGTTTTATATACGATTTTTATGAATGTATTTCAAAAGTTGTCGTAATAACTTTGCCCCCTTTGTTTTGAAGCCGTAGTAGGTATCGTTCCAGATGAGTTCAGTAAAGTGGACTCTGTCTAATCACTACATAGTATAAAACAAAGTCGTCCCACTGTCTGTCTGTCCCTTTGTATGCTTAGATCTGTAAAACTACGCAACGGATCTTGATGCACTTTTTTTTACTAGATAGAATGATTCAAGACGAAGGTTTATACGTATAATAAATTAAACCCGTGCGAAGCCGGGGTGGGTCGCTAGTTAATCATTAAAAAGATTACGGATGTCCACACTGTCCAGCGCAGCCGCATCATGGAGTCGAAACTAGTCAATACTTCATTCTAACTTATAAATATATTTTGATCTCGATTTCTCCTTTAATAACTTCTCTCGAAAATATTTTTAAATATTATCCATTAGCGGCGCGTTTCATTTAAAAATAGAATAGGTCATTTTAGCCGACTTCAGTAATGGAAGGTTATTAAGCCAGTTGGGTTTTTATGTTTGTCACAGAACTCTGTCATTTACAGACCGATTTTAATTTATTTTTTTGCATCAGTTTCGATTAAGCTTTCACGTTCTATATTATTTTCCATTAAAATTGGTCCATTGGACTGTGAAGGTAACGTCAAATCCAAAATATCTTTATTCAATTAGACGCTTGCGCGTTCTCATCAAACGTCGAGTTTCACATAAAAATTGATACATAAGTTCTTAAGTAAGTTGCCCCCGTTACCTTTGTTGAGAAGAGACGGGCAAGAAACTCGACAACTGCTCCTTTTTGAAAGGATCGGTTTAAAATATAACACCGTGGAACTGCTTTGAATCAAATAAAAAGTGTATAGTGAGGGAGATATTTAAAGACGGTTTTGTTTTTTGTTAATAGAAATGTCCTTTTATTTAGGATGAAAATTTTTTTTTCCAGTTCATGATATATTTTTACACAAATAACATGACATATTATTACTGTGGGTACTAGATAACTGATAAACAAACTTAAAATCATTTTTCTTTTGTAAGTAAATACATAGTACTCGGAGGACCGAGCTTTGCTCGGTTTTTTTTTTTTTTTTTTTTTTTTTAAATCGTGTATTTTGGAAATTACATTTAGATACAATTTACTGAGATCTGGAATTATGTAAATATACATATAACATATTTGGAGCTATTATAACATTGTCTTTTGCGGCGAAATTTACCGTCATAATCGAATGATATTTTTCATTTTTGGAAATCTAGATATTTTTCGCCCCCCTACGCACCTAATGAAAAATCCGAGATTCCGATTATATAAAATATATGAAGTGGAGCTTTTCACAAAAGAAACAATCAACATTATAGGTATTTATTTACAAAAGAAAATTTGTATTACAATGTTTATCCCTTTTCTAGTACCCTTTGTACAAGCCCTGCTGACTTTTTTTGGACTACAGAATGTTGTGTAAAAATGCGTCCGAAAATATATTATATTATTTATTTGTGTCCGAAAATATTATCTTGAATAGTAAAGTTATACTCTCTCACTGTTGCAGTTTATAATATTCGAATAGTTTTTATCTTCATAGTAGGTACATATTATTAAATACGCCAACTGATAAAGTTGGTTGTAACATTTTGGTTGTAATCTAAGATTTCCCAAACTTTGCTTCTGCTGAAACTCTGTAACGAAGGTGTTCTGTGACATTTAGAAAACACTTAAAGACTTTGAAAGGGTATAAATAATTAGAGTAATTGTTCTGGTGTTTAATAAATATTTAAAAACATATTATTGTATAATTAATTTTGTAGAATTATACAACGTGGCGCTACTATCGCGATTATAAATAAACATACAGATAGAAGATAACTTTTTAAAATTGTATTAAACATTTACTTTAATTAAACATCGATATTTACCGTATTACCCTTTGGGGTCCCGTTTCACCTTTTGGGTACGGAACCCTAAAAATGAATTACGTACTTATTATAATCGATTTCAATCTCTTGGCGAGCACAAGTATATTTTAAATCGTATTAAAATTATTATTAGTCGCAGAAATAATTTTTGTTATAATTAATAACATTTTTACGCGTTTTGCCTTATTATTCATATCGTGTTACATGCTTACGCATAATATTACTTTGTGAGTACATTTTTATACCTGCTATTATTAAAGAAACGAGTTTATATTGAGGGAACAGTTTCTTATTGGAAATATGTTCGAGCATTCAGGAGTAGTTTTTTTTTTTTTATAGGTGTTTTTCTTACTGTAAGAAACTTGGAATCTACTCACTTGTTCGCAAATTTTCATCCAGACTAAGAGAAAAGTGAAATAAAGTTCTGTCATAAATAACACCATGATCGGAATAAGGTACGGTGATCCTTCAGACAGCCATAACTCAATCGGAAGATAGATGGCGCTGTAACAATATTGCTTGTATCGGTTTGGCGTTGCGTGCGAACATTTTGCTACGCAGGTTTTGTTTTCAAGTTTTGTCATTTTGATTCAACGACCGCCAACTTAAATTTATGAAGGCACTAAGTAAGTTTGTTGTTTTTCATATAAGCAATCGCTTAGTTGGAGAAGTTCAGATGAAAACATTTCCGCATCCAAATTAGACCCTATCGTTTCGGTAATAGGAGTCTGTATTGAAAAGCTAGGTTAAGCCAGTTACAGCAAAGAGATGAAAATAATATTCTATCCCTTTTTATGTAAATTCCATTGTCCACTGTTTCAGTATCGAAGAAGGTCTTATAATTTTATTAATAAATCTTATAGTCCAATGAGTATAATTGACCACAGGCAGTGGTTGTAAGTTGTAAAAGGTTAGTGATACAAACTGCCTCACTCGCAGCTAATCCCGATATAAAATGAATCCATGTGTTGTCAATATAGTATTGTTGTTCGTTATTAAAATATTTAATTTGATACAAATGACTAGTGACAATTAATATTTGTTAATTTTTGTATTTTTTTAATACGATTCTTTTGCGATTTAAAAATTTCATAAGACTGAACTTCGCAAATTGATGTCAATTAAGTTCCTATCGACATCTCAGGGTAAAAATTACCAATCGAATACACAGTGTAGAGATAGCGAGTACTATGTAAATGTAAAGAAAGTTTCCATAGAAATAAAAGAGTTACTGATAAATCAATGGAGACCGATAGATATTCGCCTAGTGGGTAATAAAAGAGCTTTGAAAGGTCGAATTTTTAACACTACTGTGTTGTGCATTGGACAACGGACACAAAGCTCGTCAAACCACAAATAAGTAACGTAAAAAGTTTTTTTGCTCTTTTTGGTGAAATTCTTTTATTAAAATATACATAATATTAGGAAAACTTTTGGCGGCATACCGTTAAATTATCATATCCTAAATTGGCTGCATATCAATCGTTCGAAGCAATCCCTTTGTGATATTTTTTAGGTACCTATTT